GAGGTGCTGATCAAGAAATCTGCAAACAAATTTATCTATCACTCCTAATTAAATATTGCACTATATTTACACCAGCACACTTTATGCAACAGTCGAATGTGTAGATTAGCCATGTCTGGCAACACCGTTTCCAGTATTGCCTTGTGAGTTAAGTACATCCCCGCATCTGTGCAGAAAAATAGCATCTGCGCACTCAAGTGCACAGACAGTTACATACAGCATGCAAAAACCTGTATTCTTTTGGCGAAACCCTCCAACTTTATCAGCAGGCAGGCAGCAAGCTACTCTGTGAACCAGTGTGATGATAAAAAGAAGCTGCATCCTCCACAAGCTAACATTTGCCAGCTGAACACCCAACACCCATTCCCCATTCAAAGCTATGCACGCACACACGTTCCCCTGGAGTTCACCATGTTCATGAAATTGCTCCATGTTATTTATGGGTCTCTGGTTGCACACACCAAATGGTTGTTCTGGCCTGTCCACCACTTTGCATCTGCATACACATGCAATTCTTTTGAAGCAGCAAAGTAGTCGCTTGCTATAAATTCAGCTGAACAACAGCTGGAACAGATGGTGAGGAATTTCTGGTCTGTACAGAAATCTTCTGCACATGTATTGCTCCCTTGATTACTGCACAAAATCTATTTATATTGTCTGGATAGCAAAAGGTTGTCTGCTTAAAAACCATGAAGGATTTTGAGGCCACACATTCTGGGGAAGGAGGGAGAGAGCAGTTGCACAGGAGCCCACTATTTTGATCCACTTTCTACTAGTTGTTATGACTTTTTATTATTATTATTTCAATCCGCTTTTTATTCATTGTTGTGCTCGTTTTCAGGGCTGCAGTGTGGATTGATGGGACCTTAATATTGTCCACAATTGCTTATCGTGAAATTTCTTCGTATGCCACCTTGTGAGGGCAACTGCCCTTAAAGCCACTTTAATGCACTCTTTTAATAAAAGTAACTTTGGATGTCCTAAAAATACGTGTTTGAAACTTGTGGGTTGACAACCACGCAAACAGGCAATCGTGAATTTCGCCCTCATAGTGTGAAGGATTTGAATTGTTAATCAGTGTGTCCAAGCCAGATGCAAGCAGAAATTAAGCTGCTTCTCTCCAAAGGAGTAAAAGCAGCTAAACAGATGGGGTACTGCCACCTTTCGGCTACAGAGTCTCATCACAGCCTACAGATTTATATATTTTTAAATGCTTTTTAATGCAAATCAACTGTGCAACAGAGGAAAGGCCTTCTTGTGCTAAGTTTAAATGGACAATTATTCACTGACAGCCATTGAGAAACACTTTTCTTTTTTCTGCTTGAAGAAGGAACAGGTTCAAAATAAATAATAATATAATAATAATAATACATGCAGTGAAGCTATAGAGGCAGAACTCTTCATATGTCTAGAAAGTGATCTGTTGTTTTTTTATCTCCCCATATCCTGCCAGTGGGTCTTCCATAAGTATCTGGTTGTCCAGGCTGGCAGGTCTTCTATGTGAAGCAGAGCTCTTCATAATCTTTTTAAGTCCACATTGAAAATACACATTTCTTACAGCGGGGCCCTTTAACTCCCCAACGGTTTGACTTCACCCCTGAAGGCACAACCCTTCCATTGTCTCCTGAGACAGATGGATGGCAGCCAGGTAAAAAATTACAGCTCTAGTTCAGTCTTGAAGATGTCAAGATGTCAAAGGCTTTCAGAAAAGTATATTTCATACTTAGTGAGAAATGCACTGCTATTAATTTTAAATACAGAAAGCGAGTAGTCTGAAAATTTGTTTGCTGGGAATACTTTATATATTTTTATTTAAAACATTCATAACAACTAAAAAAAAAGTGAACGTTTAATCTGTTAGATCAACCCGATCTTGTAACAGTTGATTTAAAAAAAAGGAAGAACCCGAGTGCAATTCTATGTATGTCTACTCAGAAGTAAGTCCAGTTGAGGTCAATGGGACTTACTTCCAGGTAAGCACACTTAGTGTTGTACCTTGAATTGCAGATATTGACATAACATTGGAGCTATCACAAATGTCAATATATGGCAAATGTATTTCCAATAGAAAATCTAAATCTAATAGAAAATCTAATAGAAAATCTATTGGAATAGAAATTCCAATAGAAAATCTAATTCTACTTATGGGCTTTCCTAGGGTCTAAAATTAAGATTTGCTAAAATGACATAGAAATTAAAGTGAGGGTTATGGATTATTCAAAATGTTGCTGCTATTTTTTTATTTTATTTTTTAATCCTCTTGGATATCCTCATTTAGTGTCCTTTTTTATTATGGTTCCACACTCTCAAGCGTGTTCGTTTACGCTTCTCTTAAAGCTACCTAATTCCTTCAGAAGCTCTTCCATCTGTTCTTGGTATCTCTCTTTTTAAAAAAGGAAGAAAGAAATTCCACAAGCCCTCAGTATATACCTCCTTGTAAATGCTTCGTACGCAAGATATTTACAGTTGTTTTTGTGTCAGAAACAAAGTTCAGACCTCTGCCACAGTCCTAGGAATCTCTGCACAGAAATTCCAATTTGCTGGGAGAGGGAGCGGAAATTTTGACTGATGTCATTTCAAGGTTGCTTTCGAAACCTGCAGGGAAAATGTAGCAAAAGTTTATGCCAAACGCACTGAAGGAACATCAGTCAGCTGAGGAACCTATATGGGTAGCGTTCAGTACGTCCAATAAAAGAGCCCAGTTGAAATACCACTCCCTTTGCAGTCGGTGAAGTCAGAACAGGCTACGAGAGCATGCAAAGTCAGGGGAGGGGAGGGGAGGAAGGCAGGGAGGCAGCAGTGGGGCGGGAGAGACAGAACAGCGACTCCATTAATAGCTTGAGCCTGTTGGTCAACACAGGAGCATAATGTTAGAATTACACAGAATGAAACCGGCCTTGGCCCCTCCCAGTTGTGAAATTAGATCTTCCGGCTACACAAATAAGTACCACCAGGACAGTTAAGCATGATCCAGCTGGAAAAAGCACACACACACAAATATTTCTGCACACAAAATTCAAAGTATGTTTTGCCTACCTAGTACCTGAACTTCCACGGCAGCAGTTTGCTATTGAAATGGAGGTGGAGGTCTGGTTTACTAACTATACAATGTAGTTTAACTCACTTCCATTCGGGAAAATATTGGCTCACACATCCTCTGCTTGAACATATGATTTTCAAACACCCTGTGCTCTGGGAACATTTTCCTCATGCATACGTTTAGCTAGGAGTCCCCGCACACTCTTTGTACAAAATTTCATCTAGCTAGGTGACATTTTCTCATCCTTGGCGTACTTTTCCTCCAAGTCGCCGAAAGGAAATGTAGACCTCGTAAGGGGCTCTGAAAGAGACTTCCGAATAGATTTCAGCATGTCTGCAGTTCAATTCAGTTCACGGAGTGCCAAAATTAGAGCTCTTCGCCAAACCTTAGCAGGAATAGCAAAGTATTTACTACAACTGAAAGCTTCGCTCCAGTGCTTCACTCAACTAAATCTTTACATATCAGGATGGCAAAGGGCAAAATTTAATTGGTTTGCTTGCCACCTTATGGACACACTTGTGTGGGATGCTCTTCCTGTGTCTTTTAACAGAATATATATACAGTGGTACCTCGGGTTAAGAACTTAATTCGTTCTGGAGGTCCGTTCCTAACCTGAAACTGTTCTTAACCTGAGGTACCACTTTAGCTAATGGGGCCTCCCGCTGCTGCCGCTGCGCAATTTCTGTTCTCATCCTGAAGCAAAGTTCTTAACCTGAGGTACTATTTCTGAGTTAACGGAGTGTGTAACCTGACGCATCTGTAACCTGAAGCGTCTGTAACCTGAGGCACCTAAAGGACATGCTCTACAGAGAGCTGGCTTCAGGCATCAAGTCTATTGGCAGACCAATTCTGCGTTACAAAGATGTCTGCAAGTGTCATGGCATGAAACCTGTCAACATCAACCCCGCCATGTGGGAATTCCTTGTAGACAGTGCCTGGAGACAGGCAGTCAGGTTCTGTATCCATAGCAGTGACCAGAGTAGGGATGACCGCAGGTAAGAGCCCAGAGACAAGAAATGCCATGGTGCATCTGCAGCAGCACAACTGGACGCCTTCATCTGCCCCAGCTGCAACAAAACATGTTGCAAATATCCTTTACATACAGTGGCCCATCTAGTCCCACATCCTGTTCCCACAGTGGCCAACCAGATGCCTGCGAGAAGCCTGCACGAGCGCAGCAGCACTCTGCGCACCTGAGATTCCCGGTAACTTGAATAGCAAGGGTTTGGCATTGTGCAACCTACATGTACCAAGTTCCTTTTGACTGATAAGTCACCTAGAAATTCTTTAAATCAGTTGATCGCCCCAAGTCAGTCACTGACTCATGTAACTTCCCCGTTGAAAGGAGTTTCTCAATACAAGCAGGAAGTTTGAATTAATCATTGAGAAAGTTTGAATAAATAATTCAAAAAAACTACCCTCCCCCGCAAACCAGGATGTGTCACAAAATACTTCATCAGGCCCTTAGATATTCAAATATCTAAAAATGTTTACACACACACACTTCAAAACCAGTCAGGCACCCCTTTCCACCTTTTGAGGAAAAAGCAAGGGGGTATCTTAAAATCTAAGGAGGTTCCATGCACATCACTCTTCTTCATAAGGTGCAGGGAAACATAGCAGAAATTATCTGAGCAAAACAAGGGCAACCTCATTCATCCAAAGGGACTGGGGGAAGCATCCCAGAGTCTGGCACCCCAATCCAGGAAGGGTGCTTAGCACAAAGTAGCAGACACCAGCATACAATTTCCTTGTTAAACTGGAGGCCATTATTAAACTCTTCCTCGGCTCCAGTTCATTTTAAATGAGGCTGTGTTCCCATTATCATTTGCTCCAGCTCCAGTGTCCTCCCACTGCTGGTGTCTGAAGCAAAGTACACATGACATAATCCATGTGTATAGTTGGGAGGGTCCCCGGGGGGGGTCATCTAGTCCAACCCTGTGCAAGGCAGGGATCTCCTTGCCCAATGTGGGGCTCCAACCCACGACCCTGAGGTTAAAAGCCTCATGGTCTACCTGAGCTGGGACGCGGGTGGCTCTGTGGGTTAAACCACAGAGCCTAGGACTTGTCGATCAGAAGGTCGGCGGTTCAAATCCCCGTGACGGGGTGAGCTTCCGTTGCTCAGTCCCTGCTCCTGCCAACCTAGCAGTTCAAAAGCACTTCAAAGTGCAAGTAGATAAATAGGTACCGCTCCAGCGGGAAGGTAAACGGCATTTCCGTGCGCTGCTCTGGTTCGCCAGAAGCGGCTTAGTCATGCTGGCCACATGACCCGGAAGCTGTACGCCAGCTCCCTCGGCCAGTAAAGCGAGATGAGCTCCGCAACCCCAGAGTCGGCCACGACTGAACCTAATGGTCAGGGGTCCCTTCACCTTTACCTACCTCAGCTATCCCATACCTATCCTGTAGTTTCTTGAGAAATGCTGTCGTTTGATGCGTTCTCCCCTCAAACCAGCTTCCATCCAATTTGAAAACATAAGCCACTGTTAAGCTGAGGTATGTACAGTACAGATAGCCATTGACCATGCTCCACCGACAGTGTGGGGAGTTGCAGGCATTCAGAAACAAATCAGGCAATGTGCATCGGGTGAAAACATCCCCACTTGCTCCCTGGTGTGTACAGCAATCTAAAAATGTGACAGAGGGGAAGGAACTACCTCACCGCATTCGAAGCCTCTCTATGTACGTAGCCTGAGTTTCTGCAAGGAACATGTTGATGGATTGGTGTCCTTGGACAATCTGCTGGACTGTAATCTCGCTTTCTCCCAATAAAGGCAAAATATTCACAGTTCTGACATCCCTTTCTCTCTTAGAACTAGCCTTCCGGAGTTTATCATTCCAGAAGGACTCCCTTGCAAGGCATCATCCTTGAAACATGAACAAGTCAGCTGCTGGGAAAGATGTTCGGTGCTTTGGCCATGAGATCAGCTGAGCTATGAAATGGAAATCCTGCTTACATTAGCCTTCATTGAAGTTGCACTGGGTGGGGCCTCAAACCACACTGCCATAGTCACGCTATGAATTAGAATCATATTACTAAAATGACCCAACCAGAAAAGGAGCAGCAAAGCAAAGCGGATTTTTCAAAAGCCAGGGTGTGTTAAGGCCCAAATCGTTATAAATGGGGCAAGCTATACCAACAGCCAATCTTTGTGAACAGGCAAGGAAGGCATCAAAAGTGATGAAGAGACTTCATGAGCTAGGAAGTCCATGCTCCAAGTCTCATGTTCACCTTGAACTTGCACAGTTCAGGGAATACCCTCCCACTCTGCCCCCAAGCACTTTCCCACTAGAAATCCACGCTAGTAACTTGGGATATCATTGTAAGAATTGCTGAGATAATGTGCTGAAGTGCTTTGAGCATCCAGGAAAAACACTACAGAAACACCAAATAATCATATCCCTTGCAACCTTATATCCAGATTGGTTTTTAAGTTTCCTTTGTCTTCCATTAGGTAATTTTATTTTAATATTTTTTTCCCCAATTAAAAAACACAGCAGCCGCCAGCTGGGCTGCCCCTCTCCAAATCAATTTCTACCCATTTGTTAGATAACACTTCCTTGTCACAGGCCAGTATGCAAGTTGGTGCTTGGACATTTGAGTCCAAACGTTTTTCCTTCGGTTTGCTTGGGTTCCTATGAAAATGTGGGCTCAACAATATTATTGGCACAAAAATGGAAGCAAGAAGAATTACCAGCGAAAGGAGAATGGAGGACGAAGTTGATGGACTATGCAGAGTTAGATAAATTAACAGGAAGCATTCGAAACCTGCGGGATCAGAGATTCTTAGAGGACTGGAGTAAATATATGAACTATTTGAAAAGTAATTGTGATGAACAGATCATGGTAGTAGGTCTGCAAGAAGTTTTGTAAGGTGGATTATCTGAAATATTACAAGAAAGACTATGAAAAGAATTATTAGTTAAGGACATTTAAATGCAATATAGAAATTAAGAAATGCAGAATAAGTGATAAAGAATGGAAAATCATCAGAGGTGTTGACAGAAGTCTAAAATATTGTACAAGATGAGAAGATATGTTGTATGACTGTTGGAACTGATACGTTAAAAAATCAATAAAAATGTATAAAAAAGAAAAGAAAATGCGGGCTCGAAATATAATTCATAGGGCACGGGGAAATCTAGCAAACCGTGTTAAAACTGCAGGGAGTGCTAGGAAAGGGGAGGGGGGAACTGGTGCAAGAAAGATAACAATGAACAAGAAAGAGATCAACAATGAACAGAGGAAAGCTGACTGTTTGCAAGCGAACCATTTCCCTTACACATCACAGTCACAAAGCAGCTCCTTTATGCCCGATCATATGCCCAGTATCCTCCCGCTGTGATGACATTATATATCCGTAGAGAGAAGCAAGGGTAGAAATCTAGACATGAAATCACATGTTTCTACACCACTATGGTAGGATAGTGACCACAAAAAACAAACAAGGCTACAGTGGTGATAAATACACTTTTAACAAGGTCTGCGGTTAAGTAAACTCCAAAATTACTAGCCAAGAAGCAGGTGTAGTTCATAATAACTGCATTTGGTCATCATCTAGGTCGTTTTCTCCGCTAATAAAATTAAACTTCCACACTTTAGGACCCAACAGTAAAAACAACAGGGCCAGCAACACCTGCTTCTGATTGCAACTCTTGCCACCTTACTATCCAGCTTGTGAATCAAAAGCTCACGTTTTCAACACAGGGTGTTCCAAACTGAAAGGTATTGGCTGTGCATGCATGCAACAATAAACTAGACCTTCTGGCTTTTCATAAATTTATTTAGGAACGAATGCTGCTTTGTGTCTCCCACATTAATCCTCTCCTGCCACAAACAAGATAAGCAAACCAGGAAGCCATTAGCTGCAAGCCAAGGAGCATGGTTTCTTGCTCCCTAACAAACCATGGCTTCAGGCTGACTAGAGTTTGTGGCTTGCTGGGGAGCAACAAACCACGATCCCAGGTTCATTAATGGGAAGCCAAGGTTTCTTAGGCCGTGTTTACACCCACACTCCTATTTACTGGGTGTTTATTTAGAGTTCACGCAACGCTATCCGAAATACGTATGTATCCTATACACCTTGTTGTAAGATACTACTGTTTGACGGCTTGTTTCTCAAACCAGCTTCATGCCGATTAAGTTGTTCCTATTTCATCCCCGGCCAAAGTGGGAACATCTTTGCATAGGGTGAAGACATCCCTGCCCTGTCAGTGCCCCCTGGTTTGTTACCAAACAGCAACGAATCTGACACTGATGAAGCTGTGCTGATGTGAAGAGCTGTGAAATGAACCACACACAAAAAAACACCCCCAGCAAATTAACTGTGCTCTAATGCAGTAATGTGAACTCACCTAGTGCTCGGAGGAAGAGTGATGTGGGCACCATTAGGTACTGAGCACCAGCATGCTGCTTGTTCCTAATAAGCCAGAACACCTGGGCTTAACATTGCATGCAAACACAGCCAATTATATTTGAGACCACTTCATGTATTACAGTTCTTTGAGCGGAAATAAGTTTAATGTAGAAAATGGAAAAAGCTGCACCTAGCGCCATAATGTCTACACTAAGGTGTGAGTAATCTCAGGTTTGCAGGCCAAATGCAGCCAATCAAGACCACTCTTCTCTCTTTTTCACAACTCTCCCTAGCCCTTGGGGGGAGTCACACAACCCAGTAACCCTACAGCTGCTGAGACTGGTAGTTCTGTTTGTGGAATACAGGGGATCAAGAACAAAAAAACCCAACAATTATGTGCCTTCAATGGAAGACTTAAGATTGCCATCTCTCTTCCTTGCACCCCCATTCTGGGTCTCCACAGGGCTGTCAGGCCCAGATGAACCTTTTTTATAATTAAAAACAACAACACATTTCCGATATGGGGCCCACCCAGCCTTCCTGAAGCTGAGGCTCCAATACTTTGGCCACCTCATGAGAAGAGAAGACTCCCTGGAAAAGACCCTGATGTTGGGAAAGATGGAGGACACAAGGAGAAGGGGACGACAGAGGACGAGATGGTTGGACAGTGTTCTCGAAGCTACCAGCATGAGTTTGACCAAACTGCGGGAGGCAGTGGAAGACAGGAGTACCTGGCATGCTCTGGTCCATGGGGTCACGAAGAGTCGGACACGACTAAACGACTAAACAACAACAACAGCCTTCTTTTGCCCTTGATTTTAAGTCAAGGTGGGCTCTGAGATTCAGGTTTTACCCCAAATTTTTGCCTAGAAACCAGAGAAAGGTTTAAGGCTCTTTGGCTCTTTTAACCTTCCTGGGCTGGTGGAAGGTCCTCACACACATCTAGACAAATGCAGGACCTCCCTGGTTTATTTAAGTTTAAGTTTTCTCCCCAAGTTAAGGGAAACAGGGGACAAGAATGACAGACAAGGCCGACATTCTGCACTCTCTCTCCCCACATGGAAATCAAGGTGTAAAGAAGGAATGTAGAAAGATGCCTCACACAGACTCAGATCATTGGTCTGGTTGATTCACTATTGCCTATACCACTGTTTCCCAAAATTGGGTCTCCAACTGTTTTTGGACTACAACTCCCATCATCAACTCTAGCTAGAAGGACCGGTGGGCAGGGATAACGAGAATTGTAGTCCAAAAAGAAGCTGGAGATAGTAGTGATATCTCCAGCACATACTCCCCAGATCTTGTTTGACTCCAGATCCCATCAGTGCATGGCCAATGGGACAGGGATGATGGGAGTTGTAGTCATCTGGAGGTCACCATGCTGGCTACCTCTGGTCTACACTGGCAGTGGCTCCCCAGGATGTCAAGCATGATTCTCTCCCAGCCCTACCTGGAGATTTCGGGGATTGGAGCACGTGAGACAAATGCTTCTACCATTAAGCTGCAGTCCTTCCCAAGTTAAAGGCAAGTATCCCTTGGCAACAAAGTTTTAAAGATGCTTTGGCAGAGTTGCTGTAAAGAAACCACAGCTGTAGAGATCCTGGGCAATGCTTCTCTAACTCTCATCGCCCTCAAAAACTTGCCCTGATGACAGAATTCACGTTTATGCTTGTAAGCGGAAAGAGAGGCCCACTTTCTCAGCGGCAAACCCAGTCCCCTCTTCCTCCCAACAGTTTTAAAAGGCTTTTAAGATCACAGAATGTTAATGTTGGCAAAGATCTATTTTAAGCCCTTGTTGGTGTGTTTATATGGGTTCCTCCACAGCAGGACTCATATTTTCGGTTTAAGATCGGAAAAGGACTAACGTTTAAGAGCAGTAACACAGCAGGTGCGATGTGCAGTGATTTAAGACATGCAATGATGTTTATGGGACGCGGGTGGCGCTGCGGGTTAAACCACAGAGCCTAGGGCTTGCCGATCAGAAGGTCAGCGGTTTGAATCCCCACAACGGGGTGAGCTCCCATTGCTCAGTCCCTGCTCCTGCCCACTAGCAGTTCAAAAGCACGTCAAAGTGCAAGTAGATAAATAGGTACTGCTCCAGCGGGAAGGTAAACGGCGTTTCCGTGCGCTGCTCTGGTTCGCCAGAAGCAACTTAGTCATGCAGGCCACATGACCCAGAAGCTGTACGCCGGCTCCCTCGGCCAATAAAATGAGATGAGCGCAGCAACCCCAGAGTCGGCCACGACTGGACCTAATGGTCAGGGGTCCCTTTACCTTTAGCTTTAATGATGCTTATACCATGGCAGTAACTCTTATTTACAGCAAATTCAGACAACTGTCAAGTCAGAGCCGAGGAGACAAAGGCAGATTCGCACACTCACAAGTTAACTGCTCACAAGGCAAGTGGTCTACTGTCATAATCAATGTAATGTAGGAACAAGCAAGCTCATGCAAGATCACCCAGCTCCTGCCTATGAGCTAGGGAATTGCAACTTGCCACTTTTCAGTCCACGGAAGGAGAGCCACAATCTTATGTGAGTTCAAGAACCCCACATTACATTGCTCATGCATGTAGACAGGCTTGCTAGAATTGGGTTTTTTGTTTGCTTGCTTGCTTGCTTGCTTTTGCAAACTCTATCCTCAACATATTTCCATAGCCATCTCAGATAGCCATGCAGTAGGCTCTCTCAAAATGTGTGGGACATGGAGATGTAGTAATATAATTAAGCCTGGTGTTTATGTCCTTCTGCTTTGGTGAACTTCTGAGTGGTAGTAATGTTAGTTTCGAAAGCATGGTCTTCCTCAAATTCAGTTCTCTATTACACAATATTATTTTAAGCATAGAAGGCAAACAGGAAAAACAGAACTAACCTGTAACAAAACAAAACAAATCAGCACTATATTTACTGATCTGAGAATGCAAACATTTTGCAAACTAATTCATTTCATCCCGGTGTTAAATGCAACATAAGTAAAAACTACTGTAACAATGTTTCCCAAACAAATTGTTGCAAGTGATTGTAACTGCCAGCAAGACCAAGTCTTCACTTTCAGGCCACAGATATATTCTACACAAAAACAGCCAGATCACGCAAATGGAATTGCCCGTATCATATTATTATTATGATATTAGCAGTAACTAAAAGATGTTAACAACAGCCAAGATATGGACTGATCTCTCCACAGGAAAAAACCTGAACAGTATTATTTGGTGCAAAAGTAAGTGTTGCCTCACATATTCTGTATTTCTTGTCAATGTTATGAGAGTTAATCCTGAATGCAGGCTGCAAACTAGGAATGCAGCAAACATCTGTGAATTAAAACAGGAATACTAAATAACAACAACAACAACGCAGATTCCAGCAGGACCTTTCTAACCGAAGTCTGCTGCCATTTTACATACCCTTGAGTACATACTCTGACACTCCATACTAAACCACATCCATAGAGCTGTTCTTATGAAGTTGTCTATTCAGCCCAGTGTCAGCATCCTGGAGTAGCTGCCAGGTGTGCAGAGCCCCACACTACTGCTACACAGGTGCCTGCCGTGGAACTTCAATGCACCTTGCCCAGCAAGCCTGGGTTTTCAAACCATGGTACTAAGTGCCTTGAAATCACCGTTTTAATTTTGCACAATGCCGCATCAGGGGCAAGAGGCAGAGGAGAAGCTAGCTCAGTATTGCTTGCACTGACCGCCAGAGGCTCTCCACACTTACAGGGAGCCCTAACTGGAGACACTGGGGCTTGAACCCAGGAAATTCTGCTTGAAAGGCAGGAGCAATACCACTGAGCCATGGTCCACCCCTAAATGGTGGCTCTAAGTCACGTCTTGCCCACCAAAGGAACCTTAACCCATGGAGAAGCAGGCCCACATAAGGACATCTCCTCCTCACACCTGGAGCCAGACCTGGGACAACTGACTGGGGTGTTCAAGGACGGACCCACAAGAACATACGGTGACTCTCCAAAAACAACAGCTGTGAAATGAAATTGGGTAGGAAGGAAATAGAGGGGAGGGCCATAAATCAGAATTTGACTTAATAATCCACAGCAGCACTTCTAATAAATAATAATAATAAATTATTATTATTATTATTTATTTATTTATTTATTTATTTATTTATTATTTATACCCCACCCATCTGGCTGGGTTTCCCCAGACACTCTGGGTGGCTTCCAACAAAACACTAAAATACAATAACCTATAAAACATTAAAAGCTTCCCTACACAGGGCTGCCTTCAGATGTCTTCTAAAAGTTTGGTAGTTTTTTTCTCTTTGACATCTGATGGGAGGGCGTTCCACAGGGCGGGTGCCACTACCAAGAAGGCCTTCTGCCTGCTTCCCTGTAACTTGGCTTCTTGTAGTGAGGGAACCGCCAGAAGGCCCTCAGCGCTGGACCTCAGTGTCCAGGCAGAGGTGGAGACGCTCCTTCAAATGCAACATGGAATTGAGTAACCTTGGAATCAGCTGTCACTTTGCTTTGTTTTGTTTTTAAAAAACCTAAGTTTCTAGTCCTCAGCTGTTAGAAAGGGTAGGTGTGGGAAATAACTTGCGAGATTTCAAAAGACAGGAAGGGCAGCAGTGGGAACCAAGCGGGATTTGCTATGGGCAGGACTTTCACTTTGTGCCATTCCCCATGAGTAACGGGAGAACAATAAAAATTGTGCAAACCAATCTGGCACAGCATCCAGGTTAGCCTGGCACAGAGTGTTATCCGTTGTGGAGTATGCGCAGGACTGCCTAGAATTCTTACTGAGCTCTCCTGAGTTACGGTACCAACATCTGTTGGTGAATCAGAGAACCTGGTTTCTCAGCCGTAAGCTCAGAGGGTGACCTTGGGCAAAGTCATCTATCTCTCAACATCAACTTCCCATCTGCAAAAAAAAAAAGTGCCACCTCCAAGCTTTATTGCAAAGACAAATGGCATAACGATTACAACAGACTTTGCACACCAAATATGGCAGTGTAATAAATCAGCCTCCAATTACATACACCGCCTTGATATTTTCCATGGGATTGACTGTGCTATCATTGAGCCATTCCACCTCTTAGCTGAGCAAACATGTTCTGGAGAGAAACCTATTAAAAATAAGCTCCTTTACATCCAATTCCTATTCAGAATTTATGCCTTCTTAAAGGTAACAGGAAGCTAATAATACTAAGCCCTGGTTATCTACACCCATTATCTTGGTGTGTTTTTTATGGCTCTAGCAGACGGAATGAGTGCACTAGGCCTAAAGCCAGATTATACTAGATCGAGAACTCAAGGTTTCTAAATCAACTCAACAGAACCTTTAGACTAACGCCTAGCTTTCACTGAGGTTGTAAGTGAGGTTGTATCAGGGACACAACGCTCTGACTTCAGATGGGGGCTAACGTTACTGAATGTTCCTTCCATTCATAACATGCCCTCCCCATAGAAAACTAGGTGTCAAAATGACAGCCTTCTGCATGAGTTGCTAGTTTTCTGTGTGCAGGGAATTCCACCCACCCTCTGCAAGGTATGGTTGCAGCATTTGGGGCTACAGTGGTACCTTGGTTCTCAAACTTAATCCGTTCCGGGAGTCCATTCGACTCCTGAAACCATTCCAAAACCAAGGCACAGCTTCTGATTGGCTGCAGGAGCTTCCTGCACTCAAGCGGAAGCAGTGTTGGACGTTCAGCTTCTGAAAAACGTTTGCAAACCAGAACATTTACTTCCAGGTTTGTGGTGTTCAGGAGCCAATTAGTTCAGGAGCCAAGCCGCTCAAGTACCAAGGTACCACTGTATTTAGTCAAGTTTCAAGTCTTGTCTGAGTGACGTCTCCGCTGGCCTGGTCATGTCCCCAGAATGGAAGATGGCAGGATCCCCAAGGATGTGTTCTATGGGGAGCTGACTTCAGGCACCAATCCCATTGGCAGACCATTTGCAGATGTCTGCAAAGGTGGAGGGAAGCCTGGCAACATCAACCTCACTGTGTGGGAATCCCTTGCAGATAATCGCAGTGCCTTGAGACACAGTGTCAGGTTGTACATCCATACCACTGACCAGAGGAGGAAGGACCTATGTTGTCAGTGTCCCTTCACCTTTCTGTTCATTCTCAACCAGCACATTAAACTTGTTTGCTGCATTAAACCAGAAATAGTCTGCTTCTCTCTCTCTCAGCTAATAATGTAATTAAAGAAAGCCATTTCCCAGCCAAAAAGACAAGAGAGCATATCCCCTCCTGCACTGCAAGGACTAAAATTAAACTTCTGGCACTGTTTATAGAGGCAGGATTTGGACTCAAACTCCAGAAAGGTGTCAAAGCCAATTTCCCCCCCTCCTGGGTAAAATTAAACATCCACATGCAGCATCTGCTGAAGGTCAGGACTGATGTTTTCAAAGCATCCTTCAAAATAATTGTGAGGTTAATGGCTTTCCAGTTCCAACATCCCACCCAGCTTCTGCCTGCCAAGGCCAGAGGGCAAAGAGACCAATCATGAGGCAGCAATCCTGATGAACACTTCCTCACCTGGGGACAGGGGCAGCCTGTCCCATTTCACCTCAGGGGGTGAGATAGGAAGGTGCCAACCCCCCACCCCCATGCTTACCAGGGTTGTGCCATGGCAGCTTCTGGCAAGATCCTGAGCAGCAATATCTTGCCAGAAGTCACTGTCACAGGCTCTGCCCCACAGGATTCCACCACCTGAGGCGGTTGCTTCGATCTGCCTCACGGTCAGACCGTCCTTGCCTGTAGAACACAGCAAAGCACTATGGCTAAAGGTAAAGGGACCCCTGACCGTTAGGTCCAGTCGCGGACGACTCTGGGGTTGCAGCACTCATCTCGCTTTACTGGCCGAGGGAGCCAGCGTTTGTTCGCAGACAGCTTCCGAGTCATGTGGTCAGCATGACTAAGCCGCTTCTGGCAAATCAGAGCAGCGCACGGAAACGCCGTTTACCTTCCCGCCGGAGTGGTACCTATTTATCTACTTGAACTTTTTGGTGTACTTTCGAACTGCTAGGTTGGCAGGAGCAGGGACCGAGCAATGGGAGCTCACCCCATTGTGGGGATTCGAACCACCGACCTTCTGATCGGCAAGCCCTAGGCTCTGTGGTTTAACCCACAGCACCACCCACATCTCGCACTATGGCTACTAACAGTCTTTTAGCACACCTCCGCTTTGTCTCTCTCTGCCCCCCTCAGGTGGAAAACATGTGATTCTCCAACATGGGCCAATGGTCAGGAATGATGAGAGGGCCATAGGTTTCCCAGGGTTCTTACAAGGGAAAAATGATATCACAAGCTACCGTAACTCATTGCACTTTCCCGGAAGATGTAAGAATATAAGGAGAGCCTACTGGATCAGGCCAATGGAGCATTTATCCTGTTCTCACACCAGCCAACTAGATGCCTATGGGAAACTCACAAACAGGACCCGACAATAAGAACACGTGCCCCTTCTGCGGTTTTCGGCAACCTCCTCTGGCTGTGGAGGCAGAAAGTAGCCAACATGGGTGGCAGCCATTGAAACCCTTCATATGAAGACATAGCAGAGAGCAACAGCCTATGCCAGGGGTCAGCAAACTTTTTCAGCAGGTGGCCGGTCCACTGTCCCTCAGACCTTGTGGGGGGCCAGACTATATTTTTTTGTGGGGGGAGAAGAAGAAGAAATTCCTATGCCCCACAAATAACCCAGAGATGTATTTTAAATAAAAGCTCACATTCTACTCATGTAAAAACACAAGGCAGGCCCCGCAAATAATCCAGAGGTGCATTTTAAATAAAGGACACATTCTACTCATGTAAAAATACGCTGATTCCCGGACCGTCTGCGGGCCGGATTTAGAAGGCAATTGGGCCAGATCCGGCCCCCGGGCCTTAGTTTGCCTATCCCTGGCCTATGCTCATGTGCAGCAACAGTAGAGACCATGTGAATCAGACCCACTGTTCCATCTTTCTCCAGACTGCATATACACCAACAGGCAGTGGTTCCTCAAGATCTCAAGCAGGAATCTTCTTCCCCATTGCTGAACCTGCCTGCAAAGCAGATGTACTACCACTAAACTTCCCCATCCATCACCCGCAGGCAATTTTTATCTCAGCCTAAGCAGCCAAGCAAGGACAGAACTACAAGATTGCTTTCAGAGATTCTGCAGCAGCACAGTAAACAGAAGAGCTATTTGCGACAGCCTCTTCTTGCTTTCTCAGATCCAATAGGCATGTGCCATTAAGGCGTTATGAGCTGGAAATTTATGGGGAAATTGGTGCACATTGAGAGGCTACTACCAAAGGCATCTTACCAAAAAAAACAACAACCCACTGTGGTGCCTTGACACAGTCTGCCATTCCTCACCCCCAACTTGCAGAGAAGGTCCATTCATCCAAGTGCTACTACCTGTAATGATCTGCTGCTTCTTTCAAGAGACAACGCAAATTGGTAGGCGTTTCATGAGCACACACTGCATGACGCAGCATGCTTTCAAATGAAGATGCGTAACAGCAGCAGGCCACCAGGAAATATTGCTTTAAAAGATAAGAACTAGTGATAAACGTTCTTTAAATATACCAGTCATGGGAAGTTAGTGGGAGAGGCAGTAGGGGTCTATTTAGGATGACAAAATTATAACTCCAGAATGCAAGTTCACTTGAGGCAGAGAAACTATGAGCGACCACCAAGGCACAGAACCTCTCCTCTGACCTGCAAACACAGGTACTCTTAACCTGAACTGTTTTTAACCATTCTGCAATGCACCCAAAGCAGATCCCGAGACACTATATAAATAAATATAGCCGCAATGTAGTAGAGACAATATAAATAAAGCTGCCCTCAGGAGACCC